TGGTTAACAATTTATAATTAAACAGAGGCAGCAGAACACTTTGAAGTGTGGGTGGGGTTCAAGGGGGGACTCATCCTGCATACAAGTGTATACCTTTTTATCTCCATTTGAACACAAGGCTGAACACAAGGCTGAACACAAGCCTCCATTGAAAAAAGGTCATACTACATATCATTTTGCCAAGCACAGTCCTGATGAAACAATTTGAAAAGATTAGGAGATCAAATATTTTGCCACACTATTTTAAAACTGTACTAGCGATATTGTCAGCAATGAAGAGTGGGGAGGGGGGAAAACCCCTCCAAAGTTTTGCTTGGGGATCAAGGTCACCCCCCCCCCCCTGCTGCTCTGTCACCTATGTTTGGTGCAAAAGGCACTGTTTGAAGAAATTTCTTGTCAGTAATATACTGAAAGTCAAGACATTTCCAAGTGAAGGAACACATAATTTGGAGATGCTTATATGTCTAAGAGTGACTTAGTGCTTGTAAATCAAACACTGCTTCACATTGTCCAACCAATATCCCTTGACAGGTGAGGATTCGATATATGGAAGGACGTTATCTCAATCCAAGCAGGTAAGGAAAGTTTCCGTTGCAAGAAGTTCTTTTGCTAATAAATATTCATGAAATAACATAATATGCTGTTGCCTAAAAATTATGTTTCAGACCAAACTGTCCATCAAGTGTGGCAAGTCTAATTAAAAGATGCTTTGCTCCCAAACCAGAGGTTGGCATGTGTTTTGTTTTAAATACTTTTTCTTGTTGATTTTTAATTTTTTCGTTGAATAGAAAGTATAGTTCTCATCCTATCTTGTAAGGAAGAGCAAATGGTCTAAACATCAGCTTTGGAAACTCTTTATTATGGTGGCCAATTTACATTATTTTATTTATCAACTCACTTGATCATGATAGATAATGGTAATTGAACTGAGTGGAGTGCAATTTGGGCTGAAATCATAGGTGTGATTTCAAAATCAAATGAGTCAGGCTGTGCGCTCGTTCAATTTGAAATCACAAGACTGTATGATTTCTGACCAAAATTGCATGACATGGGGTTCAATTACCACTTTATTAGATCCATTTTGAAATCACCCAAATACAGGACTTGGTCAATTCAAATATTTTACTGATGTAGTACTGAGCCGATTTTTAAATAAAAGCAGAACCAGAAATGCTTTTACATCTTATTTTGTTTGCAAAACAGAAAGACTTTGATGTCATGTGTCAAAAACTCAGTCAAGCATAGATTGATGTGATTTAGAGCAAAAAATGGTGCGATTTGTGAATAAATCAAACCAATTAGAGCCAATCAGATTGCAGGGACCACCAGTGATTTCAAAATGGTTGTAGTAAAACAATTATTGTATTGTAGTAAAACAATTTTATTGTATGAAACATACTCAATGTGGTATTCAAAGGCATTCATTGTTACCTATTTAATTATTACTATTTTAATTAACTGCCTTACACCCCACAGGACAGATTGTCTTTCAGGGATTTGGTGACAGAGCTTCGCTCACCAGAATTAAGTGAGTCCAATCAAGTTTTCCAACTTTCACCACTGATTTTGGTCCAGTCTGTTTCTCTGGCATCTAATCCTACTAAGTTTGTCTTTGATTTAAGATGGCTTACTACAAAAATTCTCACAAAAGAAGTTGCTATCAGTCAAAGGCTATAAGAGGGATGTTGTTAGGAATGTTTGACACCTTAATGGACATGTGTGGTGTCTAAGTGATGACAATGGGGGTGGGGGGGGGCAACTTTAAAAAAATTGTCCAGATTTGCTATGAATTAAAAATGAGAAATAGGCTTTTTCTTATCAGGTGTGGTTGCCACATGCATCATTTTATTCATTTGGCAGTTTAATTTCATAGATTGTGGTTTTTCCTATTTTCTGTTTTCTATTAAATAGTGATGAACTTCCAAGATTGGTGTAATTGAATTCATGCTCTAACAAATGGGGTAGCTGGCAGATCACAGTAAATTGGCATATTTAACTAGTTCTTGATGTCCTTCATTTGTCAAACAAGTAGTACTTGGTAGTTGTCAGATGTGGACAAAGTGAAATACGCTCAGGAAAACAGAGTTTTCTGTTGTTAAATATACAAAGAGTTATTGTCTATTCATGTGAGAGTACACCAAAACCAAAAAAAAGTGACTTTAACAGAAATTTATTTTGTTCCTAGTGTCTGATGATGAAGCTTCTGAGATCCTCCTTCACCCTGATCACATGGAGGTGGAAGATTGGGAGGTTCTGCCATCTTCTGAGAATGCGCTGGAATTACTGACCATGCAGACAGACTCTCAGGTAATCTTAAGCCACAAGGATCTTTTCTTGACCTTGGTACATCCTCCACAGGTTGAAGAACCATTTATTTCATTTAATTAAATGTGAACAAATTTTTGTATGGAAAACAAAGAACCCTCTAAAATTTGCCTAGCTCCCAACATGTTGCTTTGTAGTGTATTAGGTAGGTAAGGTAAAGTCTGGAGTTTATTCAGGTTTCCATAACATGAAGTGACGAGGAGCATCACTATTTCCTCTTGGATGGGATGTCAGTCCATGGCAAAGTTACTCTCCCAGCATTCCATCAGTCTTCCCTGATAATTGCTGGTACCCATATATACTGCATTGGAGAAAGGCACTGTGAAAGTAGTTTGTCAAAGAAAACAGCACAATGACCTTGTCAGGTCTCGCACTCTTATCTCTCGGCCCAGAGTGCAGTGCACTGATCATTCAAGCAACATGTCTTCCAGTTCATTATGTAGTGATGTCAAACTGGTCTGGTATGCATGAATTTTGAAGTCTGAAATAGTGTACTCTGTGATACCAATTTCCCACACTGTGCATAGCTGGGGTGTTAGCATGAAAATGTGCCATTTAACAAAAATTGAATGTTTACCTTAACAACTTGCAACCTTTGAGATCCTTGTGGCTCAAAACTGATTGGGAAAGAATCATAAACTTTTTTTTATTCCAAACAATTTCATGGGTGGGTCTAATTTATATTTAACCTCTGTTTGGTCAGTAAGTATTTGTATTTGGTGTTTCATTCGTACTATCAATTGCAGCCATTATTTCATCATGCCAGTTTTTCAAAGTCATAAGTTGACAGGCAACAATAACATGCTCCTTTTCAGCAAACAATAAGGCAAGTCCACAATGTTCCAAATCAGTTGCCAACAGTGTGTGGGAGGTCCTAATTTGCTAATGTGGTGTCATCTCTTGTCCTTTAGGTCTCCAATGTGGACTATGCTTGCCTTCCTTGCACTGAAGGTGGTGAAATGTCACTCAATGATGACTACAGCACCACTGCTGGTATTTCACTAATTAACAGCTTGTCCCTCTTTGACAATGCAAGTTCAAGGAAGAGGAGTCTCTCAAAGACCTTTTCCTTTCCTAGTTTGACAACTGAAAATGAGTATGAAAGTTCTTCATCCAGGGTGCAAGGGAATCTAGATGTTATGAGACAACGAAGCAGCACTGGAGTTAGTTCTTGTCCTCCATCTCTCCAGACTAGCAATGAAGGATCGCTGGAAAGAATTGGACAACAGATGGAACCCACTGAGACACAAGAAGACATAAGATATGTTTCAGATCCCTTGGCTGCATTGCCACAAACAAACCAACAGACAGTTCTTGTGTTCAGGAATAATAATATAGAAGACCCTACTGAATCACAGTCAGAAGAGACAACTAGTAGTGATAATTACAGTAATGATGACGAAATGGCTGGAGCTGAGGCTGAGGCAATGCAGTCCTTAGGGAAACACTTCTTTGGACTAGACCTTGATGAGCACCTCTGTTCATCAGTAGTGGATACAGAATTTGGAATGTTGTCTGTCATTCCTGATGCTGATGTTGATCAAGGTGATGAAGAAGATGTTGAGCAGTTATCCACAGTTGGTTCATCTACATCCACCAGTCTTGAAACTGCTGCAAATGATGGCTCAGTTACTAAGGTTGTCCAGCCTACATATCATACAGAAGAGCAACATGGGAAATATAGAGCTGGGTCATATGTTACTCTTGCTAATGGAACAAGTGGATCACCACCACCACAAGATAAACTCAAAGGTTCAGCCACAATGCAACTTGCATCAACAGGCCACGTAGAAAATGAAGTTGGTTTTTCTCCTGTTCAAGCCACATTTCTCCCATCTCCTATTAGTAACATAACAGCAACAAGTGAAATGACCCAGACTACCAAACATCAAAATGTAATGGAGATTGATGATTCTCCGTATCAGAGCCACCTGACAATAAGACAGAATCAACAGCAGAAGTTTCCAAATGAACTCTTGTCACAATTGTCTAGCAGCGATGGTCTTCCAGAAGGAAGCGAATGTTCTGATGATAGAGGTAGTGGACTTATCACAACTCCTTGTATATCAGCAGATGCATTTTTAGCCTCCTTTACTAGAAATGTTCAAAACGAGACTGGATCATTTGCTGATGAGCTGTTGTCAGAAACTGATGATTGCTCACTTGAGGAAGGGTCCTCCCCCCTAATTACTGACCTACAAGAGGAAAGTGACATCAACAGTGCAGATTTTTCTGCAGAACGGAGCCTGGGTAAATTTTATCCAAAACACACTGTAGGATTAAATAAAGATAGCATATTGTATCAGTCATGTGAAGACAAGGACCTTTCCCCTCCAGATTCCCAGTTCTGTGCTGGTACAGAACCTGAAGATTTTAAAAGCTCTTTGTGTGTGATTGCTAACACTCAAGAAGAGAAAGAAAACAAGCAAGAAGAGAGAACTAGGACTCTAACAAAGAGAGGGTTTAGTGGGTGTGGTCCAGATCTCGTAACGTCTGCTAATTCATTGGCCTCAGCAACTAAGTCAGCATGCTTTCTTCTGCCAGAGATGATGGAAACACAATTTAAGGAAGAAAGTGGGGGGGAAGATGAAGACAGTGAAGATGAAGACATTGAAGATACTTTGTCACATCCATGTCCATTTGACAACCCTCTCTTGGTGTTTGACCAGGCACAAGAACATCTGGAACTGAAGGAATTTGCATTGAACAATCTTTCTAAAGAACAGGATAAAACATCTGAGTTCCTTGATTTCAAGGAAGACCACTTTGTGGGCCAGATTGATGAAGCAGGGATGGAAGACACTTGTTCACTTAATGATAATCGGGAAGCAGAAGGTGGTTTTGAAGAAAGTGTTTCAGAAAATCATGATTACAAGAAAGAGAGTGACCTCAAAGGTATATGAAACCTTATGACCTATATTTTACAATGATCAATTTCCAAGTTTCTAGAGCCCTTTGATGCCCACCACAACACCACCAAGCTCAATACTAATTTTTTTCTGCCCATTTCAGTTAACTCTTTGACTCCTATGGATAACTAGTATCCAAGTCTCCTTGCAAAATCTACCTTGAATAGGAGCATCAATACATCAATCAAATTGAAGTTTTGACGATCCCCCCCCCCCCCTTGGATAATCCACTGGGAATTTGAATGTTTTAAGATTGTGCAGTACCAGATTTGATGGTCAATTTTTTTTGGAGAAGGCAAAACAAGTGACCATGACCTTCTACACATTTGCCAAGCTTTAAAATCGAAATCTAGACCTTTTCTTCAAAGCCAATCACTCTCAAAAGCTAAAGTTAATAAGTGTTTACCTTTCAAAATCTCTGTATTAAAGATATAAAACTTGTACTATTCCCCTGAAAAGACTCAACACCTCCAGTTCAAATTCCCAACCCCAGCCAGCAGGCAAGATTCAAATTTCCCACCTGCACACAGATGACGATCAAATGCCCATGAGTTGCCGGGGGGGAGGGGATGTTGAAGCTTTGAACTGATTGGCAAGAATAAAGGAAATGATCTCTTACTAAAGAAACTCTTGATTGTGAAACAAATTCTCCTTGTCAGCACCTTAAGAAATGTGTTGAGAACAGTATGGAGAATATAAAACCTGATTTTAGGGTGTTAAGGGATATTAAAGTCTGGTCATCTCTCTGTTTTTGTATTGAAATTTTTAGAATACTCATATGACCATTGTTTCTTGTCATATATTTTAAAGCTAGGAAAATTGTTTTCCCTTTGCAAAGCTGTGGTCTAGCAGTGCCCAGTACTGGCCCCTGGCACCTTACTTTTGTTCCTGGGTGACTCAGGAATTTTAGTTTTTTCATAAAAAGCATATGCTGGGCACCCTGGATTTCACAGTTTCCGAGCACTGGGCTCCATTCAATTTTCCTCAGGGCACAGTCTTGCTTTTGTGGTAATTTTACCTATATGCTGGGCACCCTGGATTTAACAGTTTTAGAACACTGGGCTTCATTCAATTTTCCTTAGAGCACAGTCTTGCTTTTGTGTTAATTTTACCTGCACCCTCTTACCATATATCTTTTTATCCGATCCACCTTTCAACAGGAGGAATCCCAAGACATCATGATGGGAGTATAGAAGAACATCTAAGAAGACCTGTAAATCCAAGTTACAAAGTTCTTGCAGAAGAGTTGCCGGAGCCATTGGATTCATTCAGCCACTCTTCATCATCTGATGGAATCTGGCCCTCCTGCAGTAACAAGGGACCTAGAAGATCAATAATTGGTATGCAGTCTTGCAGTCAATTCCTGTTATTTTATGTAAATATATCTTATTAACCAAGCAGGAGGGCCGTACTGGGAGAATATCGGCCCGAGGTCTTGACAGTACGGACCGAGCTGTACGAAAAAGACCAAGGGCCAATATTCTTCCAGTACGGTCCTGAGCAAGCTTGGTTAATAAGAGATTTATTATACGACTGAAGTTCAAAGGGACACAAGTGCGGTGTCATTCGGGACCATTCGGGACCATTCGGGACAGTGCACGGTCCAATACTGAGAGAATATTGACCAACAATAGAGCATTTTGATTGGTTGATTTTAGTTATTGGCCCTCTGACTGCCTGAGTCGTGTAATAATAATAATTTATTTACCAAGGGTGACACACTACCGTTAAGAACTGTTCAAATTATGGCCCTCCCCTAAGATGTAAAATTGATTTATAAATATTAAAAAGGTTAAAGCAGCTAAAATGGTAAAAATGATAATTCATTCGCGTCCATAAAAATTGAAACCTAATCCAAAACACACTTCAAAATATTTGTTGTGGGAGACATGTTGGCCTTAAATGATTAGGGCACTGAACTCTGGTTTGTGAGGTAGAGGTTCAAGGCCTGGCCTGGTGGGTGTGTTTTGTTCTTGAGCAAAATGCTTTACTCTCTCTGTGACAACACCTCTCTCCACCCAGGAATGTAAATGGGTGCTGGTGAATTCTTGAGGAAGCCTGATTAAATGCCGTGGGGGAAACCTTGCAAGGGACTGGCATCTCATTAAGGGGGGAGTAGTGATACTTCAATTCATCTGGAGTGGATAAGCTACGTCTGTGTGGGTCACTTCGCTTCAGTATGGACTGTATAATTGTTTTAAAAGAATTGTGTCATTATTAGTGTGGCAAGAATAATGAAACAGACTGTCAGTGAAAAGCACCATCATGATCATAATAAAATGGTCAGGCAAGTCTGCACAACTCATACTCGCTGAAAGTTCAAGAGAATATAATTTGAAAAGTGTTTTTTTTTTTTTACCTTTAATCAAGGCTCAACTTCATCCTGTGCAGAGGAACTACCAACTTTGGATACAAACAAGATTCCCTCTGAGCTTTTAATTCCATATGAAGACTTGGTTTGGCATGAACCTCTTGGTCGGGTAAATTGCCTTTTATTTCCCTTTCCTCATGATGTTATTGTTGCTTTTGTTTTTCGGTTCTTCACAAGGGTGGAATAGAAAATTTATCTTGTCTTTCAAAAATCTCTGAACATCAACTGTAAGAATTATTTGTCACTGGCTAACATCTCTTGCTTTGTTACCAACAAACACAGGGTCAGTTTGGTGAAGTAAGGAAGGCAAGCATTGTATCCTCAAATCAGATGGGAACTCCCAAGGTAATTTCAACAATGGTCATCTCAGCAATGTTGTCAAAGCATCATTAACTAACTATAAATTAAACTTGTTATATGTCAAAAACCCTTACCACTCATTTAATTTGTTAATCACACAATATTTAATGCTTGATTATATGACACAATTAAAACATATATTATTTGGTATCACTTAAGTTGATTGTGGAGGTGTGGTGGCCTCATGGTTAGTATGCTCGACTCTGGATCAAGTGATCCAGCTTTGAGCTCTGGCTGGGGACAGTGTGTTGTGTTGTTGGGCAAGACACTTTACTCTTTTCACCCAGGAGAATAAATGGGTACTGGCAAATTTAATGCTGGGGGTATTACCCTGCGATGGACTTGCATCCTTGCATATCATCCTTGGGCGAGTAGAAATACTCCTAGTTGCCTCATACTATGGAAACCAAAAAAAAAAACCAGAGTTAAGTGCTGACCTGATGGGCCACTTGGCTCGTAAACAGCCTTTACCTACCTTACCTAGTAAGTTGATTTACATTTACCTTTTCTAATCTACTCTAAAATTAGCATTCATATTCTCCACACTGTTCTCGTAACATTTCCTATGATACCTAAAGGGAGAATTTGTTTGACAATTAGGAGCTTCTTAAATTGATGATCATTTTCTTTATTCTCATGATGGCACGGTAAAGAGAAATTAGAAGCCAGGGTACATGGAATTAGTAAGTTATCCAAGATAGCCTTGTTGGTTAATATTAAGAGTACGTCACTAGTCATGATCCATAATTACTCATGGACTTTTTTCCCTCAGAGGGATGAAGTTGCAGTCAAGGTGTTGAAAGACAAGGCATCAGCTAAGGACTCTAATGACTTCATCAAAGAAGTGGAGACAATGATTCTGTTAGCATCAAAACAGGATTGTAAATACATTATCAAACTTCGTGGAGTCTCCAAAGGTAAAATAAAATGACTTTTTATCAACAATTTTCTCTACTTGTCCAGGAAGATTATTTTAGATCACTAAAATGCATTTAATTTAGTGCTTGATTTCAAAAGGGTTCCAGCTTAAAAATTTAACAGTCTTCGTTTTTATACCTGGGAATCACTGTGGTCAACAGCTAGAGTTTCATTACATTTTAAAAGCTTGAGCATCCTCATAAGTCAGAGTAACTGTGCTAAACATTAAAACCAGAATCATTTATACGTATGTCCAGCATGACTGTAGGCGGGTACTAGCCAACACTTGTATATCCTGGCACCAGTGCCAGGTTCCACCATCTAATTACAACCTGGCTGATGGTTAAGGTGCTGGAGTCTGGGCCAAGAAGTCAGGTTCAAGACCTACCAATCTAGGTCCTTGTGTTGTGTTTTTGGGCAAAACATTTACAATGTAACTCTACAGTGCCTCCCTCCACCCAGGAATACAAACTGCCAGGGAAACCTAAAAAAATGCTAAGGGGGGAGAATAACCTCACCCCATCCAGAAGGAGAGGTAATAACCTAAAATGTGAGGAGAGGAGTTCCAACTAGATGAGCCATTTGGCTCAATTACGAACTGGATACATTCCTGGGTCAGGAGAAGCAAAGTGGGGGTAGTGCTAACCCAAGAACACCTACTATTGACCAGGATTGCTGCAGCCAAACAATTTGGCCAAGATATATCTCCAGCCAGTGCAAATATCTTAATCTTGATTCTTTATATACTTGTTAAAAAGGTATTAAATCACAAATTTCACTTCCAGTTTATCAAAATATGTAAATTTTATCTCTCAAAGTGGTTCAGTAATTTTTTGCACGAGGCAACATTTTCATTCAAGTAATAACTGTAAGTTATGGTTTCAAATTGATGAGCTACACCTTATCGCAACATTTCAGACAAGAAAGACAAACTTATGCTGGTGACAGAACTTGCTCCATTGGGAGCTTTGGTGGACTACCTACCCAGAAACAAGGTGGGATGCAGACTTACATTAAATTACCAGTATCCCTGTTAGAGTGGAGAAACTTTGCAAGGCTTTCAATGTGGTTTGGCCTGCAGTCTAAGCAAATCAGCTCTCTTAGATAAAGTTGATTTTCTGACTAGGAGGAAACCATATGACTAGTTTTTCTAATCTGGAATGCCATGATTTACTAAATTAATCTACTAGCATTTATTAACTGTAAATTCTTGCTCAATTACAAATTACCACAAAAGTCGTTGAGCCACTGAATATATTATGATCTGCAGGCAAACTGTTTCTTCTGGTCATGACGAAATGTAGTAGATTTTTGAAGCTAGTGATTAAAATTGTGCAGAATTTTTTTGTGCAGGAACTTATTTTAATTTGCTTTTGATTTACATCTATATGCATATATATTCAATCATAGTCCATAAATACTATTATAATATCTATAACTGTTAAGCAAATCAATGAGAGGCTGATTTTGATATAATAATTGTAATCTTTTTTTTTTCAAAAGGACATTCTTCGAACACCCATGCTCCTTGAATTCTGTGCACAAATTTGCCAAGGAATGAGATACTTGGTATGTTTGAATGATGCATGCATTGTCTTCTGGGCCCAGTTGTTCAACAGCCAATTAATTCTAACCCAGGGTTAAATTTTAGATACCCAAGTTTCTATATTTCTCTGTTCAAAAGTGGTTTAATTTTGGGATCATTTTCCCAATTCTTTTTAGAGCATTCAATCATCAAATTGTAGACAAATGGAATTAAACTGAATTTTCTTTTAAAGCTTTCAGATCTGAAATTATATTTCAGACTAAACCTGGGTTATCTTAACCCTCCTTTGAACAGCCCATCCATGTTGATTTTGTATAAAGACTTCCTTCTAAATTGACAACACATTTTAAAAAAATAGAGTTTTTGCTCAAAAACAAGGCTCCTTTGCATGATCTTTAAGGAATAATAATTGTGCCTGCCATTTTTGAGAGAAGTTTGCCCTTAGAGGATAGAATGCTTAATTGACTAACCACATAAGGGCTAATGGGCATCCCTAGCCTTTCCCTCCCTGTAGATAAAAACTCTGGCATTGTTTTATCACCTTTGGGCTAGCTAAGTACTGTAGCTTTCAATTGGAAAGAAACTGCTATTTGAAAACTTGTATCAGTTTTCCAATGAAAATAAACAAAGCATACCTTACAAAGAGTTCAGCTAACCTGGCAACAATCATGCTCCCATTAAATATATTTTGAAACAGTCCCTCTAGATCTCCACCTCTAAAAAGCCCACTCTCTGATAAGCCCTTGTCTGAAAGCCATTCTGCCTCTCCCCCAGCTAGCCTCCTAAAGGCAAAAATTAGAGCAGTTTGTTACGTCAGATTTTGGTCAGTTTGTTTTTGGTGCTTTATTGAGTGGAGTGTCTATAGGAACAAAGGGTGAAAGTTTCTAAAGAAACTGTGGTGCTGCATTTGTGGGGGTAACAAGGTAATTTGGTTCTATCAACTGAGTCGAAGTTGTAAATTGGCCACCGTAATGAGTTAAAAAGCTGACATTTCAAATGTTAGCCCTTCGTCATTTGCTCTGACAAAGAGCTAATGCTCGAAACTTCAGCTTTTTAACTTGTTAAGGTGGCCAATTTACAATTTCAACTAGGTTGATATAACCAAATTGTCTATAGGAACAGTTTGAAACTTTTTGAAATGTGATATATTTATGGGTTTGAAAGAAGACATTTCTAAGCCTTGGAGAGGGAGATGTGAATTTAAACATTTACTGCTTTTAGGAATCTCAAAAACTACTTCATAGAGACCTTGCTGCAAGAAATATCCTGGTTATGCGGGAGGACCTTGTGAAGATCAGCGATTTTGGACTCTCCAGGCTAGAGGAATACTACAAACTTCAAGAATCCCATAAAGTGCCCATCAAGTGGTAAGAGAGAGAAAATTTTCATTAATTCTTCTCTTCTACACAAGGAAATGTGATGGTAGCTTTTGAAGTAATACAGTTTGATTATCCAGGTGATTGTAGTGCTGAGAAATACTGTTGTGGTTAATAGTGACAGATATTTCAACAACCTAAGCAGAATAAATCAATTAGTTTCCTTATTTTTGGACTTCCACTCAGTTTGTCGAAATGTCAGTCACTGCTACCCACAACAGTCCTTGTCAAGACTTACACTCTACCTAACAATTACACTACAAGATCACATGTGCATGTTACCCTCACATTCAAACCGTTTACTTTTAAATTAAGTTTGTCTTACAGTAGATAACAGAAGGAGCCAATCTTGTAGCAACAACTACTCTAACTTATAATTTTAGCACTTTTGTCATCCAATTGTTAAAAGAAATCTGCATTTGCATTGGTGTTCTTGGCTTTACTTTTGACTGAACTAGAAAAGTTGTGCTGTCCTCATGTCCTTTCAGATGCAAAACCAAAAACCTACAGAACTTTGTATCTTTGTACTTCACTGTGGGGAAATTGTATGTATCAGATTTTTTTGGTTAACCAAATTATCTCAGCTGGGGATTGAAACAAAATTTGTTTTTTCTCTAATGAATTTGCACCTACCTTAAAGTTACTCTCTAGAACCTCAGACTTAAATAAATTACTGGGTAACTGTCTCATAGTTTTGCTTTTCATAGCAAATTTAAATTCTATATTTTGCTTTTCATCCCAGGTATGCACTGGAAAGTTTGATTGAAAAACGTTTTACCACTAAAAGTGATGTCTGGAGTTTTGGAGTAACTATGTGGGAAATTTTCTCCTTCGGGGACAAACCATACAAGGACGTTGAAAACCGCAGGGTGAGAGATGAGAAATATGCAGTCCAACCTCTCTTTTTAAGCCCTTAGAGCTAGCCCCAGATCTCACTTTTATAAATTGCTCCTTAATTAATGTCTGCCATACAACTGTTATTATATTTAGACTATTAGCAGTCCCTCCTTTTTCTGCATAGTCCATTCAGCAAGCCGAAAAAAAACAATCAGCAAAAAAAATTGATGTTAATGCAACCTCCAAAACTGTAGGTGGGAGTGAGCCACACAAAGAGTTACCCTTATTGAAAATGAGATTTTTTACGAATGAAAGTCACTCATTAGTGGCACATCAAACTCTCTGGCCTATAGTCAGCTCCGTAGTCCCTACTTTTCCATGTGTCTGGCTTCCTGAGTTATTTCTCACATTGTGTTCAGCCTTTTAACTGTAACTTTCCAACAAGTAATTATAAACTTGATCATTCTAAAATGAACTAAAATTTCTTTTCATCCACAGCTCCCTGAATTTCTAGAAAGTGGAAATCGACTACCATGTCCACCTAAGTGCTCACAGAAGGTCTATGAAGTCATGCGCAATTGCTGGATAAAAGATACAAGTAAAAGACCAAGCTTTTTTCTCCTGGAAACAACATATTTGGAAAAATTACAAGAGGAGTATCCTCTCGATGGTGAAGTTTGACATTAGAGGGCAGAGATCTTGGGTCCCTTCCTTCTCAATCAACACTTGGTCTATTGAAATAGGAGAAATACCAGATGTATGGTTAACTTCCATTCAATTCACACCACAAGGCTGGTTTTGAGAACATTGTGTGTTTATGAGACCATGACACCATACTCTGTTGAAACCTTTACTTGCACGTGGGAGTATGTTACTTATTTGTCAAGGCAACTCATTACTTAAACACCAAGGTCACAGTTGTTTGGGTGGCTAACTATAATGCCATGTGCTGAATATATATCTTATTAGACGTTTTGTTGTGTACTACTGCTGAGTATTTTTACTAGTTGTGCCGTATTTTGATGAGCCCGTAGGGCGGGTCAAAATACAAATAACGAGTAAAAATACTCAGCAATACTAAACAACAAAACGTCTAATAAGTTATTTATTATCCAACACGCCAAACTGTTATTTCAGTGCGGGCGAATTTCGCGGATATTTATTTCGGGGAGTGTGTGTCTGAAGTATGCGAAGCGGAACGGAATTGGTGTGTTGTTGTGTTGCTGTTTCTATTTTGTTTAATAAATGAAGAAATTTCCTAGTCATCTAGCTGTTTTCTTCATTCGATTCATCTAATAAACTTGGATCTATATTTGCCAGCCATTCTGACTCTTCGTCGTCGGAAATAGGATTGAAATTGTCCGCCAATTTCAAATTTTTTTTTCGTAACCACAATGCAATTCTTTGCTTGCGTGATGCGAGAAAACCTGTTTAACCGGTACTCTAGAGTACAAATACCACATGATATTTGTACTCGTCTATGGCGTTACTTGTACTCTAAGAAGTGTAGTTGGATAATAAATATCTATAACCAAGGGATAGCTCAGGTACATTTTGCTATCTGTTATTCACTATAATATAGGGATTTATTTGTTGTTTAACATTATCCACCATATGAACAACCAGTGCCAGGTTTAACTTGTGATGATCTTGTCCCACAACACCCCAGTAGCTCTTACCTTACAAGTAGTAAATAAATGTATTCAAATTAGAAACCAATGCAAAACAGTTCTCTCAGTCCATTTGCAGATCTGAACCACCTTAGGCAGAGGTTTCCTTCATGATAAGATCCTGTTTTGGAAGATAAGAGACAGCTCCTCTGTTCTACCTGTTATATAGGACTTGACAATTTGAAAAATGACCATTGTTATAATCATTGCAGGTGGCAGTTTTCAGCACTCATGTTTTAATTATATTTTTGGCATGTAAGTATGTACATTATATTGGATCCTAAATTCTGATTGGCTACCCAGGTAGATCAGATGGCCTGTCTACTCGTCTTAGTTTGCAATTGATTTGATGTCATCTTTTGGCCAAATTATAAATCGTCTATCAATGGAGTTTGCTTGGTTTTCATAACTTGATGTTGGGGTAATTTTTTATTTCATCCATTTTGAAATTATAGGGATGCTTGCAATCTGATTGGTCCTTGTTGATGTAATTTATTCACAAATTGTACCATTTTGTTTTCCTAAATCACATCTTTTCCAGGCTAATGAGAAAGCTTTACTTAAACACAACAACCAATCAGACTTAAAGGCTTGTTTAGAGTAACCAATTAATTCATAGGAAAAACAGCTTTAAATTAATTTTGCAACCTTTTACTAAGTAGTTCAGTAGTGGAACAATAGTATGTTTGTACAAACTAAAAAAACCTGTATTTAAGCAACTGAATTTTGCAATTTCAAAATGGATGTAATAAAGTGGTAACTGAAATTTGTATGATGCAATTTTGGTCTGAAATCATACTTGGGATTTCAAATCAAACTCACACTGGACATGTTTGATTTTGAAATCGCGTGACTTGTGTAATCTCAGACCAATTTGCATTCCACTCATTTCAATCACCATTATAGATCACCATTGAAAATGTAAGTAACTAGAGTTGGTGGCTGCAATTCAAGCCATCAGAATGTTTCAAAACCTGCAACATGGTTACAAAAATGCACATAACTTGCAACATTCAAATGACAGAGGAGTACTATAAAAAAATTTTGAAGACAGAAAAGAATTTTTTTTTCTCCATTTATTTGGTCCCAACTGTCCCATTGAGTTTAAATCCCATTAAATGTCCTAGTGTTTAAATTTAATTGCATGGTTTGCTATGTTTGTTTTAATTACTGGCTAGAAAGTGACCACACTCCCACTTAATTTTAGCAGCAAGTAGAGACTTTTAATAATTAACGTTTTGGTAGATTACTGAATGTTAAGCCATAGGAGTGTGATATATCCTCATTCTATTGTACTGAGTATGTTATATGTATCCAAACACAGTCATGTCTAATATTGACAGGGCTATAAACATCCTTGAGAAATACACTTACAGAGAGTTAAATGTAAGTTTAATTGAAAGCACAGTGCATAGAATTGCTGATATGCTTTTGTGAGTTATTTAGCTGGCACATATCAGTAATATTGTCATTTTTGTTGTGTATTAAATTATAAAAAAAAAAATTTAAAAACCAAGAACTAATTTCATTGTTTGTATCCCTTGGAAGATATTTGCATGCAATTTTTACTTCCAAATTTTCTTTATTAGTTTCTTATTATTCTCAAATGAAGAATTTATCAATACTACATTTTTGTTTCATGAATCTATTCTTTCAATAGTATTCTGCAATGGCATCTTTTTGTAAGGGAATAGCAACATTTGAAGTCAAAGTCTTATCCATCAAAGAAATAATTTTTTGCTTTTGTGGAGGATGTCTGACATTACTGCTGTTTTTCTCAGAACCCTTTCACTCCCAAGATCTTCTTAGCAATTCTTCCCACTTTGCCATACAATTCCTGTTATATTACTTAGAGAATTTTGAATTAGATCAATTAATAATCCCATAGTTGATGTTATCCTTTTTTCTCATCATTTGTCTGCGTGATATCGTATTGATATTGTAAGGAGAAATTCTGTTGTTGTCACTCATGGGAGAAAAATAATGAAAAGCAAATTTTTAATCAAAATATCAGATTTACTCCAGAGTTCTGATGTCTAAAAAAATATATTACAATTACTTGATCTCAACAATCTGTTGTATCACAAGGAGCAATATTGGTCCAATTTGGTGTATAATGTGACCAGAGGAAAAAACATAGCTTGCCCATGACTCCCTTTTAATGGCCAACATGGTTGCAAACATATACCATTGGAGCAATGTTGGCACCACCTTAGACTGTGGTGGTTCTTGAAATAAAAGTACATTGGTCAGTGCCCATGCTTTGTTGGCCAAGATGTTATACTGGAATTCGTGACAGTGTTCCCACAACAACCACTTTTTGAACACCTTCAGTCTTCAACACAACCAAATAGATTTAAAAATCAATTTTAATCACAATTCATACCATGACAGTTCAGTAACATGGCATAGACTAAATCATTAAGAGACATGTCCAGCTAGTTTCCTGAATTGCATTAGCCTGCATAGCTGGCCATTTTGGGTGCTATTTGAGGCATCAAGAGGCATAGCCATGAACACAAATTAATGCCATCCATCTCCCATAAAAAATTCAAACTTTGCCATTCATCACTTTTCAAAGGGCAGACAACAGCATACAAAAAAATTCTGCCAGCTGCACAGACTTCACTTCAACTACTAGAATGTTCATTATCTCTCTGCCATGAACACCGACTGACACCACTGCACAAACCACTCGCACATATTTGATATAAGTTCATGATTCACTTTGCCATGTAGCTTTAGTTCGTGGTCTGCACCCTCCACCCAGTGCATTGTCCAGTCATTTGCCATTCTATTCAGAGTTGTATCCATTAAATCAGGCCTACAGTATGGATCTTTTCTGCCACTTATAAACAATGCAGGCAATCCAAGATGGAGAAGTGAAGATACTCGCAGCTCAGAAGTCTTGCGAGGAGGATGCAAAGGGTATGACAAACATGCAACACCAAATATGAAGTTTGTGGTCAAACTGCTGTTTGAGGCCACCTCTGCTGCCACGCGTGCTCCCATTGAGCGGCCTAAAATCAAACACAACCTAAACATCCTTGTTTTGAAACAGAAGGAGCATAACAGGGTTTTCCTGGAGAAGTGTGATGACAGGAGAGTATTGTAAAAGTGACAATAGGAGTAAAAGTATTCTCCAAATCTAAAGAAGAAATGGCTCAGTCCATTCAAATTTAACAGGTCCGCCTCGTGGTTAGCTCATTTGGTAGAGCGCTGGACTGTTGTGTGGGAGGTCAAGGGTTCAAGCCCCCGCCGGACCAACACTCGGGGTCTTAAAACAACTGAGAAGAATGTGCTACCTTTCTATAATATCAAGAAATGGTTAGATATTCTAGTCTTCTCGGATAGGGACGAATAAATGGAGGTCCCGTCTCCTGCAGGGTTAGGGGTAGGAGACGTTAATTTCCCATGAACGAGATTACTGTGTGGTGGATGTCCTCCCCTGGGATGGGATGGGTGGGTATATCTGCTGAAGATGGGCTGTACTGCCCTTTGCAGATTAGACATTTAGATTTAGAACGGGTGAATGCTGTGTAGTAGCTGTAGAAGTCTTCCATCTTCAATACCTAATACACAGCCTGCACAGAGGGTTTGGTTTCCTAACCAAAGAAGCATTATGTATGAGAATATTGTGTACCTGCTATGATGCACATTTTGATTGGAAACTCTTCAAAATTCCTTAGGAACTCCTACAAAGGCAACATTTAGATCGTTGAATTCTTAAATGTAACAGTTTCTGCTGAGGGCAAAATAGCTGGAAAAAAGTCCCTTACTATAATTCTTGTGTAGAGGGTGGCAGTCAGACGAAAATCGTGCAGTTTGTGAATGTTAAACCAAACCAATCCGTAAACAAAGTAAACAAAAGCGACATTCGTGAGTCCGTGTCGTAAATTACGTTACAAAGCTCGTACCAACATGTTAATTAATCGCCGCGGGACCACAAACAAGAAAAGTCACTCTCACCACAACTGCTGTGAAACACTGAGTCCTGTACTGGAAGTTTTTCGTCCTGCAGGTGAATCTCAAACACAGTATCCCCGTGCTTGCGAGATGAGCAGCTAGTTTCTCCAAATGGAGGTAATTCATATTCCCTCCGGCCCCGTGTGTCAGAATCACAGCACACCCGTTCCACGATGCCTGACATGGAAAGTTAAACACGCCATCCAATTCACGTTCTTCAACTGGCATTTTAACTGCAACCTGTTTAAACAAATATAAAAGGCAATGAACCAGCACAATCAACTACAGGGAGCTTTTTTGTTTTTTTGTTTTCAGCATACCTTTCGCAGATTCCGCGCCATGTTTCTTGTTGCTATGCATGCAGAAAGGACTGGTCTCTAGCCGACAGTAGAAACGTTGTGCCCAATCCCTCGTGGTAATGTTCGGGAAAGACACCCATCCTCTCGTGCGTAAGTCGCACTTCGCGCTCGCGCTCGCTTAAAAAGGCAAAAAGATCACATCGGTTCTGCGGGCTAGGATACACATAAAAGTCGACATCCAAAAGATTTCTTACTGGCAATGAAGTGGCCTGCGTTTGTTTTTCTTATTCCAACTTATTACGGCAGGGCTTCAATCTAAATAAACACAGGAATGAGTATTACAATTAAAAATATTGCATGGCTTTTTGGAACATTGCAAGGAAATTTCATGATTTGGGATGTCTTGAAAGCAGTTTGGATAAAGATCACAATGAATTATGCATCTCAATTTGATTGAATATTGAGATTGAATGATCACGTCCCATAACGACAGACCCCATGGAGATCCCACAGGGAACCCACATGTAGGCTTAGCCACGGATGATTGAGTACCCACTGAGGGAGTGAATATCAAAGGCAGCCACCTATCCCCCTCCTCTAAACAGATGAACATGACACAAAAGTCATTATTTTAAGGAAGTGATTAAAAGGAAAACACTCTCTTTAATATATCCAATATAAACCTGGAAAAAAGCTCTACAAAGCCATTAATACTTATTTCTTAAATATATTCCATGTAACAGTAGGGTTTATTACCGTACATTACAAAATTGAGGCAAGGCAAACTAGCCAAGGACCTCTCTTCTCTTAGTGTTTTTAAAATTAAAATGAATTAGAATGAAAATTCATCCATAAATGCTAAAGACTTTCTAGTCTAGGAAAACTATTTAATGTAAATGTTCTATTTTTGCTTTTAATTTTATATAACACCATTACTTTTGCAGAGCGCATACATGTGACCACTCTGGTCAAATAAGTATTCTTCATATGAATATCAGAATTAAATATCATGCCGTTTATTATTTTTGATGTTAGAAGACTGGTAATGTGCAATCAACACTTTTTGCTTAACTGTGATTGGCCCAACAAAAAAGCTATGCCACCTAATCAACCAATCTGATGTAAGTCTCGCTTTGGTTTTGTGTCCATGCGTACTTTGTTTCACCTTTGCAACCAATCAGATGCAAAATCAGTCTAGATCACCACTTAGATACATGCGTTTCCCACACTCAGCACTAGCTACAGAGAGGGAAGGGGGGGTGGGGGAGAAGGGTGGTTCTCTTAGTACTTGGCAAGTTCCTTATCTAACTCATCCAGATCTGCTAGAGCTTGATCACTCAATCTTTTGTCCTCTTCAATCTTCTGCTTATTTTCATATTCCTTCTGCAGGGCCTGTCTGTATTCCTCATGCCTCATAACGACCTGTTCCACTTCTTTTTTGTACAGTCGTTTTAGCATTGTCTGCCAACAATCTAGCTCCGCGTAACGGAACAAATCCCACTGGAAAAGACAGGTGCAAAACTTAAATAAGTGAACAATAAGAACATACCACACACAAATTTTGCAACGTGAAAGATAGGCATGGCAAAATTGAGATGAAATCC